TCTGACTACCCCAGTGACTTCAAATTTTTTTCTTAACTTAAGGATTGGGGTCAGTGGTACTCATATGTCAAGACAACACTAAAGAGAAAAAATATGTCTCTTTTTCCCTAACAGCTTTATTGATAAGTAATTCACATTCTAACAATTTACCCATTTAGAGAAAACAATTCAGTGGTTTTAAGTGTAATCACAGAATTGTGCCATCATCAGTTTCATCCTTCTTCTTTTTTTACAATTGAGGAAAGAAAGGTTTTCCACATTAAGGAAACTTGCTTGGGATAACATCTAAGCTGGACAGGGTGAGGACAGGCATTGCAGTGGCTGTCAGGAGCTGAACTGAAGTCCAGGCCTTCATGGACTCCCTCCATGAAGTTAGATCACTCACCTGGGAGCAGAGTGTGTATAGTAGTTAAGCAAGCAGACACTTACGCCAGGTTAGACTTGGTTCCAAACCTCTTGGAGTATTGGTTTCCTCATCTGAAAAATGAGGGCTATTCAATAAAAGAGGGAGTTAGACTCTCCTCTTTTATAAGATCCCTTCCAGGTATGTAAGTCCAAGCTTCAATGAGAAAATGAAAGGTAATTAAAAACAAGTTTCCTGAGCATCCACTGAAACAAGAGAGAAAAGAATTCCGGGGTCTCCCAGGTCACGGTGCTTGGGGTTAAAGTCTCAGTGCAATTAAGCTGTCGCAAAAAAGAATTCCCAGAAGACAGGGGTTCACACTTCCCTTGTTCCCTCCGAGCCTCAGATGCAGCAGGTCTCAGCGCTCCTTACGGGTGCGCCTGAGCTGAGTGGACAGACATGTATAAAAGGACTTTCATAAAGGCAGAGAATATACCTGGAAGACAGAAGCCATACCTGGGAAGAGCAGGGGAGCAGGGGCAACGGAAGCTGCAGACCTTCAGGTGGTCTGCCCTGGAGTGGGTAACCGGCCAGTGAGGGGAAACAAGTTGGGAGGGACCAGAGGAAGTTCGTCCCCAAAGCCAAATTCAGCCGCTGGGTGAGACCTGGTGCAGAGGGCAAGTGTATTGGAGAGACGGCTTTGAATATAAACTTTTAGAGCCGCAAGAGGTGACATGACACCACGCACAACACAGACGCAGCACCCCTACTTCCACCACACCCTCTCGTCCACGCGACGCGGTAGACTCCCCCACCACAGTAAGAGTCCTGCCTCCCGCGAGCGATTGGTACAGCCCAAGCGCGGGGGAGTCGGAACCCAGCGCCGACGAGCCGCTGTCACGCCCCTGCCTCTGATTGGCTGGAGAATTTAAAGATCCAGCCGCTGATAGGCTGATTCCCTACCCCTAGAATTTGAAAGTTCCTAATGCCAGAGCCTCGCCAGCTGGCCGATTTGCTGTCCCTTCCGAGTGCTGGTGCAAGTGAGTGTCCATCAAGCCCCAAGGGGGGAGGCAGAGACCCTGCTTCTTCAAGGAGTCTCTGCCGGGAGGGTGCAGACGAGTGGGTCAGACGCAGGGAGTACAGATCCCCGGGCCGCAGGGCCTCCCACCTCCACTCCGGCCTCAAATAATCTCCACCACTTTGGAGATGGGAAACACAGGAGCTGTAACTCTTCCCAGCCCTTGTGGCCTTTTCCAGCCTCTTTCCACTTCCGCACACGGGGGGCAGTGAGATCTGCCTGGCTGCGTATAAACCAGGGACGACTGAGGCCGCTTGTACCCTTGTCTGTCCACTCACGTGAGGTTTTCCTGCTTCCCGGGGCCAGGACGCTGAGAATTCCCGAGCTCTCCCTGGGCCTTTTGGAAGCAGGTGTGCCTGACAGCCGAGGTTCCCCAGTACTGGGTATATTTGCCACTGCTCATCAGCCGCTCTGCAAACTATTGTGCAGGAGCGTACATTTCTAAGTGAATTTTTGGTTGATCCCGAGACCCTTTTACCGTGTCCGTGACCTCCTTGTGTTACCGGTGACAGCTTCTGGGACACCGTGTAGCCTTCACCGAATCCCCGGCCTCTCATCCGCCCACTATGCCCCGGTAGTCCCGTGATCCCGGTTCCTTCGTTCGGTTCCTTGGAAGACCCGAGACGTGGTGGCGATGCTGCCGGGCACCGAGGCAGCTGCCGCGGAACGCGAGGATGCGGAGCTGCGGTGCCGCGTGGCGGTGGAGGAGCTGAGCCCCGGCGGGCAGCCGAGAAGGCGCCAGTCCCTGCGCACAGCGGAGCTGAGCCTGGGTCGGAACGAGCGCCGGGAGCTGATGCTGCGTCTTCAGGGGCCGGGGTCAGCGGGGCGCCCCCGCTGCTTTGCCCTGCGCGCCGCTCGCCTTTTCACGCGCTTCGCCTCTGAGGGGCGCAGCACCCTGCGGCTCCCCTCCAGCGATGCTCCCCGACCCGGCGCGGTGCAGCTGCTGCTCTCCGACTGTCCCCCCGACCGCCTGCGCCGTTTTCTCCGCACGCTGCGTCTCAAGCTCGCGGGGGCCCCGGGGCCTGGACCGGCCTCCGCCCGAATGCAACTGCTCGGCCCGCGGCCCCGCGACTTCATCACCATCAGCCCGGTGCAGCCCGAGGAGGTGCGGCGCGCGGCAGCCACCAGGGCACCAGACACCGCGCGGGTCAAGCAGGCCACGGAGCCTCGGGCAGGGTCCGAGCCCAGCACGGTGAGGACAGTGACGGGAGGACGACTTGGGGGGTGGCTGCGCCACTTTGATGGGAGACTGAGGAGCCCACGTTCGGAGGAAGATGGTGGTGGTATGTGAGGGGGCTGTTTATATCAGAGGAAATGCTCATTGGACATTTGAGTAAGACAGGGCATGGGATTATGCTTGTGTTTCGCGTAGTACAATCCCTGATATTGAGTAAAGAGAACAGAAAAGAGGGGCGCGGGCCACATTAAAAGAGAAAGCAGAGATGGAGGTCTGAAAGGAGAATTAAGAAAGAAAAGTTGAACTGGCGTGGGCCTGAAGGAGAGACGTGGTTGGAGAGAATGAAATAATCCGCTGGTGGCTGGGGCAGCCAACAGGTCTGATCAAGAGGGACAGCAATAAAAGATAACAGGGCTTTAAGATTAAGCTGGTGAGAAAATGGAGTTGGGGCGAGAAGAGGTCTTGGGTAGCAGGGTTTTTGCTAGTCAAGGTGAGAGAGACAGGTATGACCAGAATAGAAATGAGAAGCAAAGTTGAGTGAGAGGACCAGAAGAGCTGGGGACCCAGGGGGAAGCAGAGAGAGGGTCCAGACCCACACACTGGGAGCTCAGGGTATCGGGGGTCAGTGGAAACTCAGCCTTGTTCCCTTCCTCAGAGAAACCCCAGTAGTCACTGGCATCTCCAGGTGAACCAAGGGCTCCAAGGAGCAAAGATGGCAGAGACACTAAGCGCTACCAGGCCTAGCACTGCAGGCCAAGAAAGGGAGGGGGCCTTGAAACAGTCCTATTCTTCCAGGAAGCCCCAAGATGGCCGCTGCCTGTGAAAAGGCTGAGCCTGGCCCCTGCCAAACCACAACTTTCCGAGGAACAGGCTGCTGTGCTGAGAGTCGTCCTGAAAGGCCAGAGCATTTTCTTCACTGGGAGTGCAGGTAGTAGGGGGCAGAGTGTGGGTTGGGGAGATAGTGATGGGTGGGATAAAAGGACAAGTGGCCCTAACTTTGTCCTCTATCCAGGAACAGGGAAGTCTTATCTGCTGAAGCGTATCCTGGGCTCACTGCCTCCCACAGGCACCGTGGCCACTGCCAGCACTGGGGTGGCAGCCTGCCACATCGGGGGTACCACCCTCCATGCCTTTGCAGGCAAGTGGAAGCACCTGCTGCTCGAGCTAGAACCAAATCAGGCCTGTGGTGGGGGTGGGGGGTGAAGATGGGGTTGAGACAGGGCTGGGGCCTCAGCCCAGGCTGAAGAATATCTCTCACAGGCATTGGCTCCGGCCAGGCTCCATTGGCCCAGTGTGTGGCTCTGGCCCAACGGCCAGGTGTGCGGCAGGGCTGGCTAAACTGCCAGCGGCTTGTCATTGATGAGATTTCTATGGTGGAGGCAGACCTGTTTGACAAGCTGGAGGCTGTGGCCAGGTCAGTATGTAGGGTGAGGGCTAGGTTCTGGTGGCCTTCCACGGAACCCTCCCATGCAGTCCCTAAAGCACCCATGCTCATCTCCAGAGCTGTCCGACAGCAGAACCAGCCATTCGGAGGGATCCAGCTCATCATCTGTGGGGACTTCTTGCAACTGCCACCTGTTACCAAAGGCTCCAAGCCCCCACAGTTCTGCTTCCAGGTACCACTCACCTTCTGACCCCCACCCCACCCCCAGAGGTCTGCTGTGCTCCCTGACACGCCCATCCTGCCCCCACCAGGCCAAGAGCTGGAGGAGGTGTGTCCCAGTGACCCTGGAGCTGACACAGGTGTGGAGGCAGGCAGACCAGACTTTCATCTCTCTGCTGCAGGCTGTGAGGCTGGGCAGGTGGGCCTTGGTGAATAGTGAAGGGGCCACAGAACCAAGTGTGGGTCAGACAGGAGCATAGGGACCCAGCAGAGGGGGAGCAATGCTTGTGGGAGCATGCAGTCTATACAAGAAGCAGTGCCTCAAGCTGGCTTTGGGGCAGTCCAGGACAGACTGGGGTCAAGAATGCCATGGCCCCATAGGAAATCTGCAGAGTCCTGAGATCTAGCCTCCCCCAGGGTTGGGTCTTTTTGCCCCAGCACAGGGCCTGGTATGGAGTAGGTGTCAAGGAAGGATGGACAGATGGACACACAGAGAGCACACAGAGATATTAATACTAATTCACAGATGCAGAAACTGGGGTTCAAAGAGGTGACATGACTTACCCAAAGTCATGGCTAGTGAGTGGCCAAGCTGGGATTTGAATGCAGATCTGGCTCTAAAATCCAGGTTCCTTCCAGTCTTGAGACCTTTGGGTAGGGAAGGGGAGAAGGCTGAGTGGCAGCACAGGGAGAGATGGTCCCAACTTGTTTCCCTTCTTCACACACAAGCGGCTGCCACACCCAGGCTTGAGGTAAAGGAAAATAGAAGATTGTACTCGAGGCTTATCTGATTATAGGGTATCAGTGTTACAGGGTACCTGGTTTAGGTCCTTTCAACTTCTGGCCTCTGCTCACTTGTGGTATCTTCCTCAGGTGCACTGTAGGTGGGAGGGTTATTAGCTTCTACATGGGGGCAGCACAAGGAAGGCTGACCACCCATGATCACAGCCAAGCACTGACTCCTGCCTCTCCTGCCCCCATGTTCATTCCCCAGTCTGGAGTCCAAGTTGGCCAGCCCAGGGGCCAGCAAGGCATGCCCTGGTGCCCTTTTCCAATCCCCAGGCCTAACCCATGGCCTGCTTCTTGGGCCATACTGCCTCCCTCCCCCACCTTCCCTGGGGTTCAGATTGGCTCTGCGCTGACAGCCCATACCCCACAGGTGCTCAGATGAGGTGACCCGTCAGCTCCGGGCCACAGCTGCTCACAAGGTAGGGCGAGACGGGATTGTGGCCACAAGGCTCTGCACCCACCAAGATGATGTGGCCCTTACCAACGAGAGGCGGCTACAGGAGCTGCCAGGTGAGCAGGGAGCCTGGGCTGGGAGGGACCATTAGGCAGGAGTGGCCTCCAGGCATCCTGGGGTCAAATGGTTATCTGGGTCCCGACCTCCATGACCATAAAGGTCCTTACATTTGCAGAGATAACTGTGACTTTGAGAGATGTGATTTTGACTGGGTCAAGTTTACTCAGTCAGTAAAGTGAAATTTGGATCCAGGTCTCTGATTCCAAAGTCCTAGCTAGGTCTCAGCTGTCCCCATTACCTCCTCCCATGCTCTAGTCTAATATGTATTTTCAGAAACTTGAGCCACAAGTTAATGCCTTGTAATCTGTCTGTCCATCTCTCTTTTCCCAGGTGAGATACACAGCTTTGAAGCTATGGACAGTGACCCTGAGCAAGCCCAGACCCTAGATGCCCAGTGTCCTGTTGGTCAACTCCTTCAGCTAAAGCTGGGTGCCCAGGTGAGTGGGAGTAGGGCCTAGATCCTGGGAGCTTGGGACTCCCTGGGCCTTGGCCCTCTGCCCAGGCCTACCCACCTTCTTGTCTTCAGCTTTCCACAGCTCTCCTCTTCCTGTGCCTGTAGCACCAAGAAGTCTTACTTTGGACAGTGTCTTTCTTTCACTGAAGCTCAGTTTCCTCGGCTCTGTGGTGTACCCTGTAATGAGAGAGTCCTGCTTTCTTCCATGCAGTTGGGGGTGGGCCAAAAGGGAGATTTTTCCCAGGTTTCAAAGGGCACCCCAGGAGAAATATCAGCACATTGTGGTTGGAAGAGGGGGTAGCAGGCCCTGGGGGCTATGCCTCAAGATTGTGGCCCACACACATACCCCACACCACATACCCCACACTCTGATGATTTTCAGAGCCCTGTGATCTGCTACCTTAATATTTTCTTCTGAGGCAAACTGAGCACAAGTCATTTCCCTCTGACCCGAGAGGAAACTGGGAAAATAAAAGTTTGCCACTGGTGAATAAGCTAAGGATTAGGATTCGGCGCCCCTTCACGAAAGCCCCCAGCCTCTAAGAACCACCACAGAGCTCCCTGGAGCTGAGGCCAGGTGGGGAAAGGAGCTGCTGCTCTCCAGGACTCAGTGTTCTTTCCCTTGCAGGTGATGCTGGTGAAGAACTTAGCTGTGTCCCGAGGCCTGGTGAACGGCGCCCGAGGGGTAGTAGTTGGTTTCGAGAAGCAGGGGAGAGGTAAATGGTGGGTTGAGGGAGGGAGGGTGAGTGAACAGTTCTGCTGTTTGCAATAGTCCCAGGGTAAGTATGAGGAGGAAAAGGCTAGGATGGCAAGGTGGGTTTTGCTCCTCACCTCTGAGCCCTGAAGCAGAGCTGAAAAGTTGAACTTCTCCACACCTCCCTCAGGGCTGCCCCAGGTACGGTTCCTTTGTGGAGTCACCGAAGTCATCCGTGCTGACCGGTGGACAGTGCAGGCCTCTGGCGGCCAGCTCCTCAGCCGACAGCAGCTGCCCCTCCAACTAGCCTGGGCAATATCCATCCACAAGAGCCAGGTGAGCAGCTGGTGCATGGGATGGGGGCAGAGCACGGCAGAGAGGGACAGGACAGGCCTGGGGTACGTTGAATGGGGAGGCCTTAAAGGCTTATGGGGGTTGAACGTGTCCTAAATAAAAATTTCCAGACCAGAATTAGAATAAACCCTTTCCTTAATGCATTTCCCTGCCTTTTTTCTCTCCCTTGCCCAGACACATACACTTCCTCTCTCTATTCTCCTGTCCTGCCATTCTACTCATTGAGTAGTTAGTCACTACTCAATGTGTTAAATGTAATTCTTCGACCCACTGTCTGAGGAATAGGTGTGTTAATCATTCCTCTTCTATAGAAGAAGAAACGAGGACTCAGAGAGGTTAAGTCATTTGTTGACAGTCACACAGCTAGTGAGAAGCAGAGCCGAAATTTATTTCCATGTCTGTCTGACCTAGAGCCTGAGCTCTTTCCTTTCTCCTCTATTCTCTGCTCTTATCCTGGATCTGTGTCTCCTGGCTACACATCTGCTGTCAGTCTGTTTCTCTGCCTGGAGATTTTCTGGACTGAGGGAGGAGATTCAGGGACAATAACTGGGTTGATAAAAGTGGGGTTAGGCTCTTGGGCATGAAAGACTTGAGGGTGTTCTGGCTCCAACTCTGTCCCTCCATCCCCCAGGGCATGTCCCTAGATTGTGTGGAGATCTCACTGGGCCGTGTGTTTGCCAGTGGCCAGGCCTATGTGGCTCTTTCCCGGGCCCGGAACATGCAGGGCCTGCGTGTGCTGGACTTTGACCCCATGGTGGTTCGCTGTGACCCCCGTGTGCTACGCTTCTATGCTGCCCTACAGCAGGACAGGGGCCTCAGTCTGGTAAGAGGGAGTTACCCAAAGTAGACCACATGGCTGTGGGCAATCTGGGACAGAGGGACCCCCTGGAAAGGGGTGGTAGAATCTTCTCTGGTTCTGTTGGGAGCAGGGTAAGAGGAAGGAGATGCCCCCAGGTTGTAGCCCTGGGAGACAGCACAGGCCCTTGATTGGGCTTCTCTGACTGATCCAGGAGTTCCCAAATGATGAAGAGGCAGCCTCAGACCAGGAGAACATGGACCCGAACCTATGAGATGAAAGAAGCCAGAGGGAGGTCTTCCCAGATTCCTCCTCCACAGCTGGACTGGACCTTGGGGGAACAACTGGGAGAGGACAGTCAGTATCTTTTCTCCTTTCACTAGGGTAGAAAAGTCTCCTGGAGGCTTGAGGAAGAGCTTGCCATCCATTTACCAGCTGTGCCTCAGTTTCTACCCTTCCCCTGGGGAAGCTGCTTCCAGGAGCAGGGGTAGCCTTTACTGTGCCAATTAGAAATGGGCCTGTGGTGGTGCCTGGTGGCACAGGAAGAAGCTCTCTGCCAGGGCTGGCCACAGAGTCACATGATCATAAATGCCCTGAATGCTGCTCTTTGGGCTGCGGAGGGGAGAGGCAGCAAAGATGGCTGCCCCGGGACTAGAAACAGGCTACCGGAGTCCTGAGGGGCTCAGGCCAATAACAGGCCCCCAACAGAGAGGGGAACCTGGGTGCAGCCAGGATACTCCCTGATCCCAGCCTGAGAATGTGGACTGCAGACCCAGTGCCCAGATCTGATGTTGCCTTTTCAGGGAAGAAACAATAGTGTATGTGTGTGTGTACAGTGGATATTCTCTGATTGTATTTATTTAGGACAAATAAACATGTGAATTATGTGAAAACTATGAGTCTGCTCTCTTTAAGAAGGCCCCCTGCCTGGTGCATCAGCTGTACCTGGACCAGGGAGGCTCCTGTGCACGTGTGCACAGAGGTGTTTGCTTACACCACAGATGGCTGGGCTCACGGCACCCTTAGGTGAGGGTTTGTTAGTTTCACTGGTTGTTTGGAAAGCTGAGTTCTCTGAAATTGGTGACTCACAATGAAACCACAGGTGAATCACTGTCACCGAATAGTCACATAAGGTCACACTAGAGAATTCACATGGGAGATGGAACAGACCTGTTACAACATCCCAAAAAGGCTGGCAGCCAAGCTGGAAACACTATCACTTTGGGCCTCTCTGGGGCTCTGACGGATGGAAAGCAATCATCAAACAAATGAACTTCATTGATCAAAATGCTTATTGGAAAATGCTCAGGGTCCACCTAAGCTGGCTAAAACTGTTACGATTCCTTGCCTATGAGGGAAAGGTATCAATTCTGGCTGATAAATATAAATTTCACCCACCCACCACCCCCACACCTCTGGCCTACACCCCAGTTCTTGTATGTATAAATAAATATTTTTTTGAAGATTTCTTTATGCATACAAGAACTGGGGTACAGGCCAGAGGTGTGGGGAGTGAGAGGATTCACCAGAGACAGAATGGGGAGCAGAACAGGCAGATCAACTGAAATACACTGCTGAGGGGAGCAGTGGGTGAGTCAGGAGGGGTCTGCTATACCATGTGGGTTCCTCCCTGGCCAGGGATTGAACTGGTGCCACAGTGGCAGCGGAGCGTTTCATAGGTTGATTCTTAACTCCTTGAGCCACCAGGGAGGCTCTTTATAAATAAATCTTTAAGAAAAAAAAAAAGGCTCAAGGAAGAAAGAAAGGGAAGGGAAGGCTGACTCACAGAACTGCTTTGATGCCCAGAAACAGGTGGGAACTGGGGTGACTAGAACCACTGTCAGGAATGGAGCTGGGTGCAACCCCTGCAGCCACCACTACCTGGGCATCAAGAGTAGCCACCAAGGGAGGGACTTCTGCACTCCTGCCTCCTCACATCACATCCAGATCCTAAAGGTGGCTTCCTGAATAGGTAGTCACTGGCAAGAGGCTAAAGGTGCCACCAAGGGACAAGAGAGACAGGACTTCTGCCAGGAGATGAGTCTCCCATCACCCCCTCAGAGCCAGGCTGTTGAGGATGTCTGGGTGTCCTTCCTGGGACTCTCCTCTCTGACCCTCCCTCAACACACTTCATCCCCACCCCTTGTTCTCCCCCTTACCCAGGAACTAATCTCTGCTCTCCCTGGTCTCATGGAGACATGATATACTTAAAGATGTCTTCCTCAGGAGACTGCCTGGGTACCAGAAAGTTCTACCCTTAGCATCCCTTTTCATTGTGGAGACACTCTCCAGAGGGCCCCTGGAGGAAGGCTATATGAGGGGGAGCTCTAGGCATCCCTGGCCCTCAGGCCAGGTCATGAGAGTGGATTAACCATGAGTGGTATGCACAAGAAACCTCCCAGTTCTTAATTTTCTTTTTTTGTTTAAAGATTTATTTATTTATGCGCACAAGAGCTGGGGTACAGGCCAGAGATGTGAGAGGTGAGAGGATTCACCAGAGACAAAGTGGGGAACAGAACAGGCAGACTGACTGACTGACTGAAATAAACTGCTGAGGAGAATAGTGGGCGAGCCAGGAGAGGTCTGCTGCACCATGTGGGTAGCTCTCTGGCCAGCCGGGTATCAAACTCGTGCTGCAGAGGCTGAAGATAGCTTCATAGTGCTGTGCTTAACCCCTTGTGCTACCAGGGAGGCCCCAGTTCTTAATTTTCTTGATGTCTATTTTAATCTAACTTCAAACCTGTATTGCTAGGGAGAGGAGTGTAGGGGAACCCTATTCTCCTATTCTCTTACAAAGAATTGGGGGCTCCCCAACCCCAGGGTCATACCGGCAGGGAGCTTTATAGGAGCAAGTTTCTCATTTTCAGCCTTGTGGTGACTTTTGACACCTCAACAACTCTGCCTGGACCCCAGCTGGAATGGAGGAGCCAGAATTTCACTGTACCCTGGGGAAAGCTGTCACCTCCCTGTGGTGCTCTCAGATCACTTGCCCTTCTCTAGTCTCTAGGACCCTCTCTCTATCTCTCCTTCTCCCCAGCACAATTCCCTCAAGGGATTGGACCCAGGAAGCAAAAGCCAAGAAAACTGTGTCCTCTCAGGTAACTTCTGGATTTGAGCCAAAGAAGCCTAATAACCCCATTTGGAACATAGGGACAGGGGTGTAAGTCTAAGTAAGAATCGTCAGAACAAAGAAAAAAAATATGCCCAACAACCATCCTGTCATACTGAGATAAAGGAGACTTCCCCCCACCATTCATGTGTGTGTGTGCTCATTCATTCATTCATTCTTTCATTCATTCATCCGTTTATTCAACAAATATTAGCCAAGGTTAATATTTATACCAAGTTCTGGGCTGACACTGGAAATCCCACTGGAAACCAGAGTGACATGGCTCTGCTTTGGGGAGCTTAGAGTGAGCTGAGGGATCCGGACTATGAACAAGCAACAAATAACATCATCTCAAACTGTGACAAGTGTTCAATAATCAAAATAAATAATTAAAGAGGAGCTTCAGGGTGGGAATGTCGTCCCCCTCTTATCTCCTTGGCTTTGTTGCTTTTTTCTAGCCTGAAATGACCAGATTAACCCTTGGTGACTGTTTCTCAGCACTTAGCTCTACCCTTTCGCCCCTTCCTAGGCAAAAAGGTCCAGTCCTGCTTCTGAGCACCTACACTGTGTTGTCTTTGACTGTGAGCCTGTGTCCTGCACCAGAATGTTCCCCAGAACAGGATTGAGACCCTGCCTCTTGCACCCCAGTGCCCAGCCCAGTGACAGGGATTTCCTCTCCTCTCCTCCATCCTCCAGAAAGATGAGAAATGAGTGTGTCAGGTGAACAAGTTAAGGATGGCATTTAAGAAAAAGGAACTGTGGCTTCCGTTGTGGCGCAAGGGGTTAGGTCTCAGCACTAAGAAGTTATCCGCAGCCAGGCCAGGGAACTCACCCACATGGTGCAGCAAAGCTCTACTGTCTTGCGCGCTGCTCCCCTCAGCAGTGTATTTCAGTGGATCCGCCTGTTCTGCTCCCCA